CAATTGCGACTGATCTTCGATTTTCTGAGCCGCTTACTCACGCACATGTCAGGAGGGATGTTACACATGGACGTAAGTAGGCGGGTGACTTTCTCCAAGGGAAGTTTGTCAGGAACGTTGAAGACGATCACGTTTCGGGCACGGCGGGTTCGCTCGTTTATCTCAGTAGTGATGGTAGTAAGAAGGGCGCCTGCATCTTTGAGCTCGTCTGCGTTGCCATTTGTCCTTATTCCTGCGAGTTGGGCTAATGGCATAAGTTTTGCTAGTTCTGTTTTGGTAAAAGCCATTTCCTTTTTGAGAGCAACCATTTCAGTTGCGAGTGCACTGATTTTGTTAAGTGCATCTTTCAAAGGGTCTATAAGAAGGACACTGCAGGGGCGCAGTTTATTCAGGTTGTCTTTTGTAGCAGGACGTTTGGTCGCCTTATCTGCCTTTGCAGTGCATGAGGCAGAGCTGTGATCAACAGAAACTGCGGTATTCGAATGAGTACGTCTACGTTTGACCCGGAGTTTGGCTCGGGCAGCTTTACCTATTATTCCATTGTTGTTAATCATTATGGAATAGCACGGCTTCATGATTCGTGTTCCAGGAACACTGTTTTGCCGTATATAGGATCTAAAAAGCTTAGAGTATAGCACGTCTAGATATCGAGACAACGCGTCTAATTATTCTAATAAATAGCTGCTATATGGCGGAATAAGCAACAAAAAGCCGAAAACGCACAGTTTCTAACTTCGCGTGGTCAAGGTCAAGTTGGACCGCCGTGCTTATGATTAAACTACGTTACAGTGTTTTATGCGCATCGTTGGCGCAAATATTTACTACAATTGCTTTCAGGAAGAGTATTGAGGCTATCCAGTTGGCCAAATAAAATTAAACAGCGAAATCAAAACCTAATACGAGAAAGATAACGAGGACGCAGTAAAGAAGGTTGCAACGGAACGGCACGTACGTCAGGAAAAGCCGTCATTCACCTGCGCAATTAGAAAGCTACGACCAGTGTGGACTCAGAGTGTGACTGCACGGCATCTGTGTCAAGAATCAGCATGGTCTCGTCAGTATCTCGTGCGGCTGGGTCCGTAACAGCGTTCGGTTATCGCGATGCGGTCGTAAGGGACACGTTCACTTCGCACTGGGCGCGTCACGCTTTTTCCAGGGCTTCGTCATCGGGTAGGTTGCAATAGCAATACGCACGGATGTTCTTCCATGCCCGGTCGGGATATTGTAAGCGTCCTCACTAGGCGCGCGTATGACCGTAAACGAAGAATTCGTTGGGGCCAGTTAAACGTATAGGTTACCTAAAACGAAATGTGCCGTTTTTCTTTCGAGTGATCAAATCAATGACAGCACTTAGAATATCATGCAAATAAATAACATGTTTTAGGTTAGTACACTGCAGCCCACGTTTGATTTTTATATCTTGAACCATTGATCTGGAAGTCTACTATAATACCAGGAACCTCCTGCTGCTTCGTCGGATGCTGGGTAACGTTGGACCCTGATGCTGCCCTAATCTCATGCGGTCAATGAAGCCCGGAGTGAGCTCAAAGCTACGTTGGGAAGCATTATACAGGCACCGTTGAGCAAACAACGGTTAACTGATACATTCGTTAGACTACGCATCAAAGCCGAGTGCAACAAGGTGGTGTTAGTCATTAACCAAGCGAGTGGGTAGCGCTAGGTCTGAACGCCTATGGAGTCTCCTGGACTTGAACAGCTTCTATCGGTGCCCACGTGCCGAAATATAAAGGTTCAAAAGATAACTTGGACCTCTCAAGATAAAGGCGAATTGCCCGTTTTGGGATCCGTTCCATGACTTTCCACACTATTGTTGTAAGGCAAGTGGGCCAATGGCTACCTGGCTTTTGCCGGTTCCCTCCTTTTCACAGGGGCTTGGTGATGCCCAGCTTCAAAGTAGACGGGAGAAGTCCGGACTGAAATGATCAACAGAAGATCTGCGAGATACATGCGGCAGTGTACTTGGTCAACGTCATAAGGAACAAGTAGTGTAATCTGTCAGGACCAGGTGACGAGGATGGATGCAAACCACAGCAAAGTTTCGACACGACATTAGTGCTCCTCTCGACGCGCTCTGACAGAGAAGGTAGAGTGCACCAAGAACTGTCAAAGAACGACGCTGCCGTCGAGTACACTAAAGAAAATTGACGCGACATGAGGCTGGCTTTATTGTTGTCTTTATCAACCGGATACCCTTGCCCACAGGAACACAGGGCAAAGATACCACGGCCAGCTCTGGTGCACCGTTTACGGTGGGAGAGGAGCACACCGGACGTGCTTCTAGCGGATGGGGCTGGGGAGAGTTCTTAGCGTTGACGTTCCTCAAGTATTTTCATGGTACCTGCATTCTTAATGGTTGCGTAACCTGGTTTGTCATGCTCTGATCGTGTTAACCTGGAGCAGTCCTACAACCCGTCTTCTTTTCATCAGGTATCTCAATGCACGATCAATTCACGGAGTGCCTATACATACTGGTGGTTTATTGGTGATGGCGACAACTTGTTCAATGAGGGACGTCAGCTTGGAGTACGGAAGAGTTTAAGCACCGTCAGCATTGTGATGTGCTGGAATATCCCACTCCATCATACGTGCTGTCATTTTATGACGAAGAGCATCAGCACGCCAGGATTGTCGACGAACGGCACATGGATGTTGAATGGTAAAGCGAGGTGCTAATTGTAGTAAGACCGTAGAATGATTGCTTCTACCAGTGTGTTGAAGAACCGGTAGGCCCTTGACGTCTGACTGCACTGGGGAAACCAAAGAACCAGGATGTGAGGCTGCTGTTTGGCGAGTATACGGGTCTGCATGGAGACCTGTCGATGCAGACAGCACCTGAAGACGGTTTCGTGGACGGCTGCGTGAACGGAAGCCCATGGACAGCTGCAACGAAGGAGATCTCAATGGAAATTAAGGGGATTGTAATCTGGCGTGAGGCATTCTTTTGTTGCACCGTGCAGCGTGAGCAATTCAACCAGGTGAGCTACAGCGCTATATAGCCATCTTTAGATGACACCAAACAAGGAATATCTGCACCTGTCATGATCGCGGCATTAAACCACATCGAAATGCCCGTTATCATAACTGGGTGACCTCATCCAAATGGACTTACATATCACGGTCCCATAAAGTATCATGCAGCCTGCCGGTGTCACACCATGAAGGCCGGTACGAGAATGGAGGTATCCTGCGATGGATATTTCAGAGTCACCGATGTCTAATGTTAATCATTTTTGGTGATGGCCCTTAAGTCAAGACAGACATCAACGAAAAGTATCTGGCTCTCATCAACTTTATTTCATAGCCAACGTAAATTTGCGAACAATACACTCAGTCCGTTCTATTGCGTTACGGTCGGGGTGGCGAGAACCGGCCTCCAACTGGTTCTCCAAGTTTGTCGAAAATCCACAATATGAAGTTTGGCCTCACTACTTGCCTGACGGTTTCGCAGCACCTCAACTGCCTTTTCCTAGTGTACCGATCTTCCAAGGAGAGAGTTCTCAACTCCTAAAGGGACTTTCATTAGGGACCTGAGGTCCGTCGGAAAATGCGCCGACATTTTCCATCGTCATGGCAAATATGCTTAAGAGGGCAAGACTTGAGGAAAAGTTCTTGTTTCCAACTCAAGCGGAACGCCGAGATAATGTTAAATAACTGTCCGCGTTTGTCCAATAAAACAGAGATCAGCCATTCAAGGAACTTTTTGTCGTCCAGTATCCTTCCGGCTGGGGTAATTTTGGTTTATTAATGCGCTTTCAAGTTGATGAGCCATCGGTCAAGGGATTATAGACACTCCTGGAAACCTGTAGTTAAGGAGGTTGCGCGCCGTCTTTGCTTAACGTTTCCAACTTGCTAGTCTTCTCAAGCACCGATTTATTCTGGGACTGGAGGGATAAAGGCATGGAGTTGAACTGAGTTATAGTTAGCGTTGTACATAGCCGGACACTGGACTTCAGATGCGGTGGTGTTATCGTTTACAACTGTAGGGTTAGTCATAATGTTTAATTTCGGCTCGGTTACCTCCACTTGGTCTTTGCAGACGCTAATGCGTTAGAAGCGTGCCGGCTGAGAAAGAGGAGGAGAATCGACTAAGATTTTATGCTGCATTTCCAAGGCCGACAGGCAGAGGTGTTCCTGCCCACGTTGTGGAGAAAGAACGAGCTTCTTTTCCGTTTAGGCGTAACGTAACTAGACCCAGGCAGGCACACAGATGCAACAGGCTTCTCACAGTCAGAGTTCAACAAAGCTTGCGCAGGAGCAGTAAGGCTCATCCGAAGATTTTGTCGTCTACCACTGCTAGACGCGCTGCAGGAAAAGATTTTGCCTTTAGAGGCATTATGCTAAAGTCCTTGGTGGGGCGCAGGACCAACGTTACAGCATGCTATGTGTGACTATCACTCGCATAGGGCACACTGAACGGCCGTTGACCTGGAGGGACACCATTCGCAAAGTCCATGCTATTAGATCATAGTCTCCAAAAGAAAAATTAGCCGACAGTCAAATTTCGTTGAAATTGTTTATACAAACACCTTTCTCTACATATTTGCTTGAAAGACGCAACTATAACACGCCAGATAGTGATTACCGCGTAGTACATATTTTGGGATGTACACGTTAGTAAAGTGGCTCCTGCATTTTAACTTAAATGTCTTCAATTAATTTGCTAATATTAGTCCTGCACACTCTCCAGCCTCAAACCTTCGGCCGATTCCAAAAAACGAACGTAATGTTTCTCGCCAGCCTGTGAGATACGAGTTACCGTCAAGGACCATTGCATTATTCAATCTTGGCGCGGACATGGAGGATTGTGTTTTGGTCTGAAGTAGTAGTGGCATTCGGATCATCCTTTAGCAAAGACCGGTTTTCATTTTGGCGGTTATATTACCTCTCGTCTACTGCAGTAGGTTTTAAACCTTTTGTCTTTGCTTGCACTAAACCTAACTACACTCTGTCCTTGGCGCGCCTTAGGAAAATGCTCAATTATGGAATCTTTGAGACTGAGGCTGACTGCTCTACGGTCCGAAGAAAGCGACTTGCTCGCTAAGGTCGGCGAACTGAACAGCCAAATCAAACAAAGCCGAGAGGAACACGATAAAGTAATTGAATTTTTGAATCGAACTGTAGATTTTAGCTTCAAACAGATATCCATTGTTTGCGCTCCACCGAAACATTGTTAAAACAGAAATTAGACACTCAGAATTTGCGGTTGCAAGAAACCGAGAAAAGCTTTTCTGTCCACCAGGGCCTGCTTCATTCTCAGGGGAGGTATTAATTTGTGTTTCCTGACACCTCATAAACTTGAAAAGCCTGATCACTGGTCACGAGGATTACTATTCACGTGAGGATGACTTAAAGGTTGAACTGGATAAAAAGAAAGAAGAAGCTCGCTTGCTGGACATTAGCTGCAATGAGGTATTGCTTGTCCATATTTTTGTTCTCAGTTGTTCAGGCTGTCTTGCGCAACCAACACCTTGAAACCTTAAGGCAGAAAAGCAATAGTAGAGCAGCTGAGCTGGAAAAGTAAGCCCCTTCAGCTTACCAAATTTAATCACCACAGGCAGCTGGAGCTTCTGCAGGAACAGTACTCTTGTCTAACGCTGGACCACACATCTATTAGTTATCCATACTCTCAGGTTGGTGCACATTTTTGACTTGGTTTATGATCTGCGTCTTTAACCAAAAACCGATAAGTTGATCACAGCTGAGTTGCTTTAATTTTTTAGCATGGATTATTTTGTTTGTTTGTCTTACTTTTCCTTATATTATCTAATGCGGTTTGATTGGTTGCCTCCAACTTTGCCCTCTGATTACGCATCTGTTCAAGAAATCTCAACACAGCTGCTCTCTACGCACCTACTGGAAGTAGGCTCTTATATATCCAATTTTTAAAAAAGGTGGCAAACACCATGAAAACTACAGACCAGTCAGTTTGACGGGCGTTCTAGTCATGCTGTTGGGAAAGCTTGTGAGCGACGCTCTCGAAGCACATATAAGAGCCTTTGGGTTACTCAACCCTTCTCAACACAACTTTCGTAACTGTTATTCTGGCATTACTAACTTGTTGGTTGCTCGAGAACATTGGGACGAAGCTGTCGAGCGAGGGAAGGCAGTGGACGTGATGTTCATTGACTTTTCCAAAGCTTTTGATTCCGTTCCGCATTCGCGTCTTTTGTACAAGCTGCAATCCTACAGCATTTCTAGACTTGTCTTACGGTGGATTTAAGCTTTCCTAATCGGAAGGCTGTTAAGTGTTCCTGTGGGTTCCGGTCTGTTTTTATTACAATGCGTTCTCAGTGGGGTCCCGCAAGGTTCAATCCTTGCCCCTTTCTCTTCAGTTTCTACGTCAACGACTTACCTTATGAGCTGCGAATGCCATGCCTAATGTTTGTGGATGACTTAAAACTCTGGTTCACAGTAAACAATCTGGCTGTTCCACTGACTCTACAAAATGCTCTGGATACACTTTGGGACTGGTACCTTTTGTGTCAGTTGCTACTGAATCTCGCGAAATGTTTAGTCCTACGCGTAGGACGCACTAACCCACCGACGAGTTATTTGCTTAATTGCGACGAAATGCCGCGGGTGCAACTTCAAGCTGACCTTGGAGTCTTGCTGTCACCAGTGAATATTGGGCGGCAGCTGCTCGCAAAGGATTCGACAAGTTATGGTTGATCCGGAGGTCATTCGGGATCATGACGACTGAAATGTTTGTTGGACTATTTTCGGCTTTTGTGAGGCCGCACTTGGAATACTGTGTACAGGCTTGTCCCCCATACCTCGTTCGTGACAAGATGACAATTGAACGGGTCTTGGCGTTTGGGACGAAATTGGTGCATGGGTTAAAGAAGTTGACGTACCCTGTGAGGCTACATAAGTTGAATATGTTTTCCATGCATTACAGACAACTTCGTGTCGTATTGGTCCTCACATGTCGCGTACTAATAGTCCTGATTTGGTCCTGATTTGACTGTTCCACCCAACTTGAGTGCCAGCCCTTCGGGGTCACCCATAGAAGCTGCACAAACGCTGATCTGACCGTTATCGCGTAGGGTCATAGGTTATTGGTGCGCGCTGCTCGCAAAATTTGTAATGGCACCGACGGTGAAGGATTTTGAACATTGACTTGACGCCCTCGGTCTGCAGTTTAAAATATTCCCCTTCGTGCCTTAGGCTTTTACTCATCTATTGGGGCTTACTTTTCCTTAATTCGTTTTCACTTGCAACTTAATATGGTTATATAATTTGGTAAGCTTGTCTTTCCCTTTATTATCTTTTGTTTTTTATTCACCTGGCCGGCACAGCGGGCTGCTAGTACAGGGCATGTGGACATTGTTTGGTTGACTATGTGAATCCTGTGTGTTGACCTGGCTCTCCTTTGGCAGATCAATCCACCGCATTCCCTGCTGACTCAACGACGGTTTTGAAGGTGGAACATTCACAGGATCTTCCGATTGTTCCATTCCCAATTGAACTTGAACTTAACTGTTGAGACATCTCAGTGCTCGATACAGTTCATTTAACTTTCCCACGAAACGCGAAGCAAACGTATCCCCTTTACACATTCCATTGGCATTCACCTGCTCGCAACGGTCTAGATGATTATGACCTACCTAGCCGTTCCACTTACCAGCACCTGTGACACGTATCACGAGGCTAGAAATCGGTGCAATCAGCGCTTGGGCCTGCTCTGCTTATGCACAAGATGACTTAAGCTTATGTGACCTCGAAGAAAATGAAGTCCTTTGCATATCTCAGAAGGAGCTGCGGTCAGAATTCGCCGGTTCCAGCTTTACTGTAAGTCTGAAATTCATACTTAAACGAACTACGACACCAACCTCTTTACACCTTAGCTAAAGGTGCGAAATCTACTCCAGCCAATGTGCCACAGTGCAGAAGAATGGCATATATGAAAGAGCGTGACACAGAACATTGTATAATACAATACAAAACAACAAAATAATACGATGTTCAGCAACATATGACGATCACTTATGAGAGCGTGGTTGCAAATGGAAATTAAACAGGTGTGCAGGGACAAAGTAACTCACAATACGAACGCCACTGAGGCTCTTCGCCCTGTCAACCATTGTATCCAATCAACATATTCATCGTCTTTGGACCCCGGCCCGGCGTCTGGAGACACCAATCGACACCAACTTCTAAGTAAGGGATTTCATTATTCTTGACCATGTCGGTTGGCCTCTTTTCATCTTCAGTCCACACCCCGGTCTCGCAGACAATGCTCTTCGCAAAATCCGCTGTGCTTGCATGCACAACCCGTGGACCTGCCATCCGTGCCTCATCATCATCATCAAGAGCAGTACATCAGACATTTGAACTGATGCTTCGCTGTCATACAACCATGAGGACCTACGAAATAAAGAATAAGAACAGGGAGAGAAGGAGGACTTACCCGCAAATCTTAGTGCCCTAAGCAAACATTCAGGATCAAGGCGCCTACACCTTGTGTAGACAACATACTGTCACAAACAGCTGGTTATCGTGCAAAGATAAGGCGGCATCGGCGAGACAGCTTCCTTGCGGCTTTCACTGCCACGCATCATAATCAGCCATTACCCCACAGATAACTCAGCACCAAACACACTTTAAACAGGCAATCTAATTAGGAGACTGCAGCAGATGTGCCACTGGTGTCGGTTGCGAGCCATGTCCTGTAAAGTCTCGAGCCAAGCACAAGCCGAGTCACTTGGACTCCAGCCCGGAAGGCGAGACGGGCCAACGGCACCCAGTTCGGTCGTCAGTGACTACATTTCCCGCTGCCAAGTCTACTTCTGTCCACCTCGAGCCTTGCGCCACCCTACACCTGGTAGACTAAACAAGGCCCTCCTAGGTAAGCGGTGACCAAGCATACGTAGCACGTGCTCGAGCTAACGCAACTTATTCAGTGCTGTCTGTTGTTCTAGGGAGCTAGCATCATCACCACCTAGTACTCGCCTACGCACATCATCGTTGCGGACATGCTGGTGCCATCCGACAACAGCAATGCTTTGCAGACAACGATGACCAAAGACTTGAAGGTGCCTCAGATCTTCAGACCGAAGGGGCCAAGTTTCACTACCATAGAGCTGGACGGCCCTCATTGTGGCCTTGTATACCCGGCCTTTCAGACGGAGGGAAACTCCCTTCTGTCGCCAAAGATGCCGCAGGTTCAAGAAGGCAGCTCTGGCTTTTGCAATTCGTGAGTTGACGTCAGTTTCTATGCGCTCATCATTGCTGATGCAGCTGCCAAGGTAAGTGAAATGGTCAACCACCTCGAGTACCTCGTTAGCAGGCGTCAGGGGGTCATCAAGTGGCTGGTGGTCCTGCAGCAATACTTTGCACTTTGAAGGTGTGAAACGCATACCAAATAATCGGATCACTCTGGACAGGCTATTCAGGGTTAATTGTGCTGCCCCAGCATTGTCGAAAAGCAAGACGATATCATCCGCATAATCTAGATCAACTAACCTTTCACCAGGGAGCACCTCAACGCCTACATCGTGAGATTCCGCAAGGGAACACTCCATGACAGAATCCACGACGAAATTGAACAAAAATGGGGAAATCGGACAACCCTGACGAACGCCACTTGTAGTCCGAAAGCTATCCGATAGGACACCGTAAACCCTGACACGGCCTATAGTGTTCGAGTATAGGGCACGAAGGATGTTCACATATTTCGTGGGAACACCTTTCATCGCAAGTATTTCGAACAGAATCGATCGATCGACTGAATAGAACGCACTCTTGAAATCGAGGAACACAGCTATTGTCGGTCTGCGGTATGCGTGGCGCTGCTCTAGCACCTGCCGCAAAGTGAATATATGGTCTATACAGCCACCTCTTGGGCGAAAACCGGGCTGCTCTTCCCTAATCCGAGATTCCCGTTCCGCAGTGAGGCGACGAACGATAATCGAGGCCAGTAATTTTGTCACAATTGGCGTTAGGCTAATACCCCTGTGGTTAGAACAGTCTGTGCGACTGCCCTTCTTGTATATTGCCACTATAATCGATTCGCTCCAATTAGCCGGGACACTTCCTTCTAGATACATTCGAATAAGGAGGTCAGTGCTTTGCAGAGGACCTCATCTCCATCCTTAACTAGTGCAGGTGGGTGGGAATCCGGGCCAGCGGCACGAAAACGATTAAGAACTGTGATCGCGTTTCGGACCTCGGCCTCCGACGGAGGCGCTAAACTAACCATCCATGGCTCGTCCTGCATCACCTGAGTAGGGAGAGGTCCGGGAGCAGAGGGCCAGCTGAACTGATCTTGAAAGTGTTACGTCCAACGAACCATACGGCGCTTCTTATTGTGTATCAGGGCACCCGCGCTGTCTCTGGTTGTCCCACTGACACCTGGTCTTCTGGGACCAGTGGTGTGGATTAGCTGGAAGAGCTTCCGGTAATTGTCTAATGCTCCTGCCTCCTCCATTTGTTGAGCCCGACTGGTCCACCAAGCTTCCTTGTCAGTACGTAGGCTCTGCTTTAGTTTGGGCCTGATAGCCCGTCTGGTCACATTGTGTTCAGAGCCAGCCGGGAGGTGTCTTCTAGATTCCAACAGGTTTACCGACCTCTCGTATATGCAGTGACTGGTG